AAATCTCTTTCCTGGAGCAGACCTCAAGGTCTGCGAACAGATAGTAGACACAGATAATAGCCAAATCTGGGGAATATGTTGTGTTCTGCTTTAATGTATTTGAAAAGTTTTAACAATTTTACATGCATCATTTTAAAGTAAGTAAATATAATACCTTCAAAATATACTTATGTAACAGAAATTATAGTTTGCGAGCTGTGAAGTATTATTGAAAGAATCTACCATGGATCATTTTTACGCTCTTATAAAAATCAATAGTTAAAAACCTTATCTCTAATTTTTGACACCAAAATTAAAGAAAAGGTTATTAAATTTTTTTTTGAATATATTTTGTTAGTTATATATAAAAACTTCTATATAATGTACATATATCTTTCTGAAATGAAAGAAATTAAATAAGTAACTAAAAATCAACAAAAAGTAATTTTAAAAAATTTTTTTTATATAAATTATATTGTTAAATTATATGTGAATTCCATTAGCAGACAATGAACCCATTAGATTATAATTTTTACCTACAATATATCCATACAATATCACCAGTTTCAGTCTTTAAAATGAATTATTTCCCCACATTTTCCTGCTCATGCGCAATACATACGATAAGAATTGTTTATACATAATCGATGTTATCATCTTACTGCCTTGTGTTTTCTTTTACCCCTTCTCCGTTTATTTTTCCTCTGGGTCAAATTTTAAAATTAAATTTGATTTTATTTTGGTAGCAATATTCTTTACACTACTGAAGTTCAGGGATTGTTTTTGAAATTCTCCTTTGAGCTGCTAATGTCCTCCATTAATGAAGGTTGAATATTTTTTGAGTTTTTTTATACATTGCCCTTGCAAAATTTTGATTAAAAAATAAACTCACAAATTGTTTATCAATTTATATCAATACATAATTTATTATTCTTAAAGATCCAATATATAGATTATTCATTACAATTATCTATAGACAGTCGAACTATAAAAACTATGTACATATATTGCTCCATCTGTATGTAAATGCAACAATTGCAATACCCATTCCCGAAATTTTCAAAAAATATGATTTTATTTAATAAAAATTATATGTTATATATTTTTATACGTTTTTTAATTACATATTAATAAATGATGTATACTGTGTGTGTTGAAACTGGGGATGTTTCTATAGAAGTACGTACATATGTACATGTAAATATTCAATACTTTTCTTCGATATCAAATATTTTTGTCGTCGATACTTTTTTTCGATATTATCTTTCAGTATTTACTTGATACTAAATCTCGACAGAAAAGTATTAGATATCGAACAACATGTGCTTTGTAAAACTTTTTGTGGGACCCAAATACCGACTTACTTTTGTATAGATACCAAATACGTTATATTACTCACTACATATGTTATATTACTCACTACATATACTACATATGTATGTAGAAAACTGCTCACGAGTACAAAAAATGTATCGATACTTTCCATTTACATTTATCGTAACATAAGTACAGTATACTTCTAAATAGTAGACGTATGAGTTTGTATTACTGCGGACCATTATTTGAGCTCAAGTGGGCTTTGAGCACAAGACCGCCACTCTCACCTAACCTAACCTAGCTTATATGAGTTAGTATCCATACTTTTTAGTATTGTACTATCTTTATTCGAAACACATAAGTATATAACCACATATTATACGTCTTGACAAAATTTAAGACTTACCATTAAACGTTGAGAAACTGTTTAAACCACGTATTTAAAAAAAAAATAGTTCATTATGTACACGCTATGAATTTTTATATACCAAATGAAAATATCCTTACCAAGCCATATCAATTGCCATTCATGGCAAAACAAGAATATTGCAGGACATGGCTATCCCAAACGTGATATTGAGATGGATTAATCGATGACGAAACATAATTTAGGGTAGACGTAGATAGCCGGTTCCACAATCTACAAGTCTTCTAGCATCGGTATTATTCAAGGGATAAGATAACTTTTTGTTTTACCTAATACAAAGATTAGGTCATAGTCCACCATCCAATATTTCTCACTCAACTCCATTTCTTATCTCTCAATGAGTTATAAGACTTCCTTATTCGGTGCCCTGTATTTGGATAAAATTTTCTTATCTATTCAATGACCTCTGCACTGGAAAAATTACTGAACCCACGATAACAGCGTTGATTTCAAAAAAACTTTGGAAAAAATATTTACTTTATTGCTAATATATAAAGTTTACAGTATGGTGATCCAGTGAAATAATAAGTGTATTGAACCCCTCTGAAAATCGGAATTGTGTTTGTAGTAATACATTATATAGATTTCTTTTCAATAATTCATAATGGTTGTATATAGCTAAGATATAAACTAGTATATATATTATTTTGAATAATAATATATATTGTTATAATAACACATTATTTTATTGTATATAATATACTATTTGAAATTAAATAAAAAGAAAATTTTAAAATTTAATTATGGCAATGCTTTACATTTGCTTATGTTTGAGTTGACATTTCCATGCCATTTTGACATTCCTTTTCTTTTGAATTCTGCACCACACGTGTTTGTTGTTATTTTCTTAACGCAAATACTTATTGCGTTACTATTTATTAATAATATAATTAATATAAAATAAATTCTACGCAAAATGGGTCGCATGAATCGTTCACGTAAACGTCGCGATGAAATGAATAAAATAAAGAAAGCACGATATGAGGCAAAGGAATTAATACGCTTGAAGAAGACGCTTGGACTGATTGACGCTGATGGCAATGAAATTATGAAGGATGTTTCCGATGTGGCACAAGTAAAGACAGCCAAAGAAATTAAAATTGTACGTATAAGAGTTAAAAGAATTAAAAGCTAATACAATATATAAATTATTTTAATAATTCAAGGAAAAGAAAACTAAAGAGGAGAAAGAATTAGAACATGAAATGCAGGAGCAACGTGAGAAAGGCAAGAAGATCAAAGTCGTCAATGAAAACACAGGCAAAGAACATATCTACAACAGCAAAACACTTAGAGATCAGTTTGGCAATTACCCACCGTGGTTCAAGCGCAATAAGACAGCGAAACGTTTACGGAAGAAGGACCATGCCCGCTCAAGAGACTTCAAGCAAGCCTGGACGACAATAAACGTGCCTTTGTAAATAAATTATAGTGATTGTTTGCTTAGTTTGTAAGCTATTTTTATAATCCAAAAAATAACAACTCCGCTGCTCTTAACTCATAGATGAATATGAGGACAATATTTAAATAAAAATCTAATGAATTAATTTTAATATTAAACGTGTAATTAGTTTTTTATAAAATTATCTTGGGTGTTGCATTTTAATGCAATTAAATTTTCAATCTACATTAATTTTTATGTGTTATATGTTAAAGATTAACGTAATTTGATAAACATGGAGGTTTCGATCAGTAATTAATTGGAAGAACAAAATTTTATTATGTTAATCCAATTTTTCAACTGGCCATATAGCTATTTCAAGTATTACCAAATAACCACTATCAGTGGTCCTGGAGTTATTTCTTTATATGTAAATAATTGCTTGAGACTGCAAGTACCAACGGTTCGAAACCTCTTTAAAAACAATAGTTTCTATTAGTATAATAGTCACTGTCATTACTGACGTAATAATTTAATATATTAAAACCAAATTATATTAATAATAGAAATTATTTTAAAATATGCATATTAAATAAATATAAAAAGGATTACCTATGAATAATGCATTGAGTTGATATAGGTTAAGAGATAATTTGTTTTGACTGAAGATTGTCAAGAATGTACTTTCGTCAGAATGGGATCTTTTCCATCAGGCGTAGTTTCTCTGAGTTCTTATACATCAGTGACCTGAAAGAGCTATAATCCGCCTGGAAGTATATAATCGATCCCTGTTAACTATTTTGGTTCGACCAAAATGTTTTACATGTTTTGAATGACTTCTATAACTAGCTGCAAGCACTAGAAAGGTGTATTTTTAAACGATCTCAATAAAAGCATAAATTGGTTTTGATGTGACACAAAACTAACCTATGTGTCTCCGTAACCGATAAGACTTCTGTCTAAAACACTAGTTCCATTTGAAGCTCGAAGAGAGTACCAAATATCTGTAAATGGCGAGATTATTCCTGCACCTACTACTCCCCAGTCACTCATAAAAATTTTTGTGTTGTATTTCATTTGCTCGTTCTCATACATTTCTTTATATAAATATTATTGTGAAATAGCTTTTAAAACAAATTAAAACTTAGATTTACCTCGCGCTGTGTTGTTGAAAAATGATGACGAAGGTATCCAGCTAGAGGTAGGATGCAGTTGCAACCTGTCTTGCGGAAAGACTCCAAGAGGTGAGCTCATTATGACACCACTATTTATACAAATAGCTATGCTTACTGTTCCAATGGTTCTAGCAAACATCTATAATATTTTCATAAACATGTGTAACAAACCTTTTCCATATTTCAATTAATTGTAATAATTTAAAAATATTAATAATTAATTAAATGAATGACATTAATATGACCTATATATACAATTGATATTCCAACATTACATTAATAAAGTTAGTATATATTTTATACAACTGTATGATAGTTCCCATTTCACATATATTTTTTTTATAATTTTTAATGTGATGTTATGTGTTTATACTTATGATTAATATTAAAATACGTTTTGAAATAAAATCCATATTTGCCGTATCATTTAGCGCACGTTTTCTTATCGGACTCGGAACTGAGACGTCATTGTTTTCTTTTTTATGTGCCAATGCACCAATAATATGTTTTGTGTCATTGATAGGAATGCTGTCATCAAAGCGTTCCTATGAAAGGCTGATAATCCGATATTGTGGTGATCCATTCACGGAAAACAAATATTTTCCATAACAACAAATATGACACGATTTCTGCATGAACCTAGTTTTCTTATCAATACATTTGAAATATAATGCAAATTTTAATAATTTATATTGCTTTGCAATAATGACTTTTTTCTGTTCCATCAGAAGAGAAAAATACTGAGCTTATTTTAACGAAGTACTATTTATCACTTATATACTATTTACCATGTACGAAATGGTCGTTATTCTGCAACTATTTGTGAATAGTGAAATAAATAAGTCAAGGGAAATACATTTTTTCTTTTGTTGAATTTATTTTTTTTTTGACCCTGATTCTGTATTTATACAAGTTTTCAACTCATTGTCAAATAAAGATTGTTGACCATTTTAATAGGTGACAGTTTTGTAGATGTTCGATTTTCTACTACATTTCCTGTCCTTGTTTGTAAAGACAACTGACTTCATGATAAAGAGTAGGGAATATGAGAGGTGCTAGAGAGTTACTTGACTATTTCTAAAGCATTTTTCAACTACCACTGTACTTCTAGTAATGTCTCCTATGTATAATATTATTATGTTCACGTAGATACACAACTTTGATCCATATTAAATTTTCTCTCCTCTGCATGGAGGTGACAAAATTACTTCATCTGGACCTAGTTTATCTTCAACATTCTGACCCATTCTTCTCTCAATTCTTTATTTAGTATAACAAAATTAATTTTCTTTCTCTGTGCTTGCTTTTCTGGATACTTTGGTAACAATAACAACAAACCACTTAAATGTACTTTATTAATATCTATATATATACATAGGTATATCGTTAGTTGTACTAACTCATTGGAATCAGGAAAGTAAATATACTTAAACATAAGACTAGGATTAATGAAATTATTTTATATATACGGACTATAAACTAATTAAATAAAAATTCGATTATTTCCTAAGACCACTAATGAAGAGTACTTGGCAATACTCGAAACAGCGTTGTATGGTCAACCAAATTTCAATAAATTTAATAAAATATTTGTTTTTGTTCTTTCTTTCTTTACTATTCGAATCCGTCTAACCTTTAAATAGTTTCTTTCGTCATAAAGACACGCCATTATTGGCAAAAAAAAAATTAACGTTAGAAATTATTTTATGTTCCATTAATTGTATTGGATTAGATAAGGAATGGGAGGTTAAGAATATTTGTGTTCAGCCTGGCTTCAAGTTGTTGTTGTTGTAGCCCACAGGGATCTCTGAAGCAGTTGACATGAAATGAATTACGTGACAAATGGGATAGGATATAGATACACAACTATTGTGTAAAAGGGAAGACAATTATATTGTATTGAGATTAGATTAGGGGATTGGTTGGAATTAAATTGCATTCAACCCGAATCAAGACGGAGAAATCTTATCACTTGTATAATCCGGATCTACCGGTCGATTGGACTAATGTTTGTGTGGGCAAGAAAATAGATCGGCAATATCATGGGCGTTAGAGCTGCAGTTGATTTCAAGCAATAAAACTCAAGCAATGAATCCTTAATGAGATTTATTTATTTAAATAGCTGAGCGTTTTTGGTTGACTGGATATGTCAGCACGTTAAAATTCCATCAAAAGTGACACCTTTTAAATCTGATTCCCTAGCAATATAACTATCTATGTTGAATATTACATCAATTTGTTAAGACCTTGAAAACTTATCTTCGAGAAATTTAGAAACAAAATTATTTGTTATTAACACATTTTATTTTATTAATAAATTATTTGAAAACATTAATGCAAAGGGAACTTTAAGCTCAATTTATGAATTTTTCTATAATTTTTTGTATTGCAATTTGTTTAAAAAATATCTTAATTTATTATTTTTAACAATTTACAACTACAAATTACTTGCTACGTTTTTGAAACTTTATTAACTCCAATTAATCTAAATTATTTAAAACTAAATGGCTTCCATTTACGAACTGCTTTTATGGCTATAAATTTAAGTGACAGAATGAATTTCTGGTGTGCAAATAATTAAAAAAATTATCAATTAAGTCGATAAAGATAATAATAAAAATAATAATAAAAATTTTAATAAAAAAGTATAAAATAATCTCAAACCTTAAAGAATAATCATTGTACACATAGACATATGGTATATATATATAAAAAAATTATTTACTATATTGACAATAATACATTTTGCGACTGACCGCCAAGGATTAAAACTAATTTGGTGTGTAAGTCGTTATAAAAATAAAGAATATTGTACATTAGCTGTAGTTTACATTAAAATATGTTTATATAAATAAATTAGTTATTTTATTGAATGGAACAATAATTACGTACACTGCATAAAACATCTGTGGTTGCTTGTGCCACTGGATCCAAACGTACCGCAGCACCTCTTTGTAAACGCGTTAAATGTTGCATATTTGCAGACCACAATGTAATTGCAGTTTTCTCACCACTATCTTCTGGTCATTCATCTTTTTTTTCCATTTCCATTTCAACTGTAACTTGCTGTTCCTCAACATTTCCTTGCATAATAGATGGATTACTCTTCAGCACAGAGCCACCAGTAAAACCAAGTATACCACAACCCACAGCTGCCAAACCGCCTGCTTTGAGGCCTGCCACTAAACCAATAGGTCCACCAACAAATGTACCTAACACAGCTCCTACCACAGGATACATTGCTTTTTTATAGGTAAGCGCACGTCGTAAGTCTCTTTCACCAGCTTGTACCTGTTCCAGTGCTTCTTCAGCATTATCTGCTATCACTTGTACACTCTCAGCCTGCACTTGCACTAGCTCACGCATGTCGTGGAACATGCCATTTAAATCACGTATTTCATGCTGTAAATGTTCCAGCTCATCCAGACAAGATTGTCGCTGTTGTAATTGGTATTCTTGTTGTTGAAAATTGGATTCAATTTCGGGTATAGTGCCTCTGTGTGCCAATGTGCTGCCTATTTCAACTGGTTGCGTTAATAGGTCAGCCGTTATATCATCATCTTCTAGGCCTTGTGAACGTAGCGTAGAGGTGGGCGATTTTAGTTCCAATTCTTAAACACAAAATTATTATTATTAATATTAAAAAAATATTTTCTTCTCCCAAATTAATTAGAATTGATTTACCTAAATACTCCCGCATGCCATCGAATGCCTTCTGTTTACCAATTTCCATCATTGCATCGAAACGTTCCAAGTCATCTTCACGCACCTTCTCACGCAATGCATCCATTTCCAGCATGAGATTTTTCATTTGCTTTATGACACGGGTGGCATTGATTTCCTCCTTTTTTATTTTATTCCAATCGCCCAGTGCAAGGCTCTTCTCTATGTTGCTACGATGATTTTTCAGCAAACCCAAGTGGTGTGGTATCGCAAGGTCATTAAATCGTCGCACGGAGACTTCCGCCTGTTTAAGCGGAATTTTATCGCTGCTTGTCATTCTGAACTTTTGAACTGTAATAATTTTACTTTGCAGTATTAAATTTGTGCAATTTAATTTTTACTTAAACTTCGCCAGAGAAAGTATTTTTTTATTGATTTATTGATAATTTGCTTTTTTCGTTTATTTAAAATTTTACTGTTGACAATTTTTAAACCTCTTTAAACGTTTGATGTAATTTTACAGATTGCAGCTCCATTATACGTTTGGGAGCTGTCGACTGAGTTACAATAATTACTTTTTCTTTTGTTTTGTAAATTTTCTTTTGTGCTTGTTTTTACTATTTCTCTTACTTTCAAGTTTCTTTGATCTTCTATTCTGGAATAAAATTTTATATCAAAACAAATACGAAGTTAGTTGCGTGTCTGAAAATCAGTAACAGCTGCTTAGGGTTACCATCACTCCATTTCGACAAAAGTATTAAAATTCTTGTACATATTATCTAGGTAATACTAGGTCTCTTAATAAAACTCAAGTAAAACACAAGTAAAATTTACACGAAAATACACGAACACGAACTGGAGGAACGCAGTTCTGTATACACAGTGTTACTCAAACTTACAACGAGTAAATCGTGGAACAGATCTACTATGTTCAGACAGCCAAATTTTCTTAATTTTGTATATATAAAATTTAGTTAATTACGAAAGTGTTCATACTGCCACAAATTAAGGATATCATTCATATGTTTTTTGTTTACAATTCGAATGTTAAAAATTACAAGGTCTAAACACCATTTGTATTGCGAAATTTTAAAAGTTGATTATTATAACTATAAAGGATGGCATTCAGTAGTTTTATTAACTTTAGTGGATATCAGGTATGTGAATTATAATTTTTCACTCTATTTTAAATTAATAACAGTTAGTTTTTTCTCTATATTAAAATATAAAATTTGCACTACTTTCAAAATATTTCCCAGTTTTATTAAGATCAACTGTCATTTATATTTACTTAAATAAATGTCACTTTTTCGTTATCTCAAATTTATCTTTTGCTTCAAATTTATCTTACGCATATTTACATTTGAAATTTGCTTTAATATCAGCCTTCGTTTATATGAAATTAAGGCCATTTTCCTTAATTTCGTTCTAACCTCAAAATTGCATTTTGTATGGAAAATCAAATTAATTTCACAGAAACGAAGATGAAATTAAGGTGTGTCTGAACGTAATATAACTTTTTCAATCGAGATTCACTTTTAGTACAATTTGTATTTTCGATTGGCACATCTCGAGCGAAATGTATAACACTCGAGATTAATTTTTAACTCTATAGATATTTTGTTATAGTAAAAAACTAAACCAATAATTAACAGCTGTTTTATTTGATTTGACAGATAAACTGTGATTTGATTCGAAATACGTAAATGACTACTAATACTACTACAGAAACGTTAGATTATTCTAAAAATGTACGATTGGACAACAAACATTGACAGATCGAGAGTAAATCTAGATTGAATCCAGATTTATCAATCGAAAACGTGATGATATTTTATTCATAATTAAACTTCATAATTAGTGTGTGTAACCAGAAAGCAATTCTTCTGCGAATAAATCAGAGATTTCGTAGTCAATGGTAGTAGTCTATGGTTAACATGAAAACAGAAAAGCGACGTCATGTAAACTAAAATAACAATTGTGACACGAATTTTTGTGAGACAAGTAAATGTTTAGTACATGCCTATATTCTGACCTCAATTATTTAAGGATAGTTTTTGCAACACGAGGAAAATGTCTTTCATCCTCAATAATATCAGGCGGAAAGTGCTAGGGAATGTCTCGATATAAAATGTGGAGAGCCTATAAGCTAATTTAATGATGAAGTGATCGACGTTTGCAAAAAAAAGGTTCGAGTTCTATTTATTTTCGTTTCATTTATAGTATAGTAGATACCAATCTGTATGGTAATATTTTTTTGTTTTGACAAGGAGCATTTTAAATTGCAGTTTAAGTTGTTGAAAAATCAGCAATATGCTTTCGCAGAAAAGTGTGGGCTCCATACTGATGCAGTATAACATGGAAGAGATTGACCTATAGTTTGTATGTGTGCAGCAGGTTTCTATATTTTATCCCACGAACTTCTCACTAGTTCAGCAGAAAAGTGTGGGCTCCATACTGATGCAGTATAACATGGAAGAGATTGACCTATAGTTTGTATGTGTGCAGCGGAGAAGGTAAACATATTATAAAGATTGACATCTAAGAATTTTGATGGTGAGTATGACCCAATTCACCGACTGAAATGAGCGGAGTCGAGGACACCTTTTTAATTAGGATGGAAGATATGTATTGATTTTATTGTAAAGTGAATCAGGGTTATTAGGAGTATTGTGCAATCATCTTAGATGCTTATGAATGTGAGTTCTTCTGATCTGTCCAAAAGGTTGAATGTGTAGAGGTTAACAATTATCAGCGAACAGTACCCTGTAGGACTTCTTATTTTAATTTTCTGGCTTTGGACATCTTTCCGATAAGATCAACAAAAGATATTCTACCTACAAGATATTTACAAATTTATTATTTCGTTATTTCGTTGAAACTGGAATGGATGATTGTTACATATCGATGAGTAACACCGTATGTGTCAAACACTTTAGAGATATCAAGAGTACACAATTCAGACATTATTATGGTAGATATTAGTTCTATTGTGATACCATATGATCTGAGTCGAAAATATAAAGAGTGGTACTTTGAAATAAACATAAATATATAAATAATAAATAAATACAATGTTCATACTTTATCTCCTAGCCAAATTTTCTTAGATTCATCTTTTGGTTATGGTGCAATGGTGAAGTCACTATGTACACTTTTATTCTGCTATACATTAAAGAAATAGGTACAACAAAATTTTCTTTTTATTTTTAAATAAAAAGAATTTTAAAAATAATTTTTAAATTTTTTTATTACATTACAAAAAGTATTTACAAGTAACTTAGTTTCGAGTTTATTACAACATTCAAAAGCTGTTGGCTTACACACATTTTAAAACTATTTACAAAAAAATCTTATTATACTTACAATTAGAAAGTTAATCATTGAAATCATTATTGAAGATACAAATCTTTTGTATGATTTACAATATATAAAATAATTATCAATATAAAGCGGTGTAGGATTAAATACAATAACATAAAGGCGTAGTACTTAACTAAAGCAAATTAAAACATTTATTATATTATATTATATTATATATTATATTATATTATATATTATATGTATAAAATTTTAATTATATAAATTTTTTTAATTTTACATAATTTTAAGTAAAAATTAAAAATGCAGTTCTGTTCATGTTACTTTAATTATAAATAATAATTACGAACTATTTAAGGTATTTAACGTATTTATGGACAATTCGCATTCGGACCGTTTCGACATTTCATAAGTAAATTAAGCATTCCTTCCAGTTTATTGGTGCGTGATTCTGTAGCGAAGAGATTCGTTTGAAGACGATTTATATCCTGTTGTTGTTTTTCCTAAAAGAAAAATTAATTTTATAATTGTAAATATTAACTGAAGTGCTAATCTAGTATTTTTATATGAAGATATCATGTATTTAATATCGACATTGAAACATTGATATTGAAGATATCAGGAAGTTTAAAACGTTTCAATAAAATGTTTATAAAAGAGCAATATCTGTCAGAGGTGATAGATATGTCAATCTTTATGCATGTTCTGCTTGTATGTTGGCAAGACGGAAAATACCGGACCATTCTAAATATACTCCTCCTGTGATGTTGAAAAACCTTAAAACTATACCTATATTAAAACTATTTTATCTGATAACGTTCAGTTGTTAGTACCAAAAATCTACTATAGTTGCATTGCTTCACTGGTAACGCAATATTCTTCATTTTAGATCCTACTTTATTCTTTATTGTCTTTACTAAAACAAAATTCATATCGATAACATATAATACATATGTATGTGCAACAAAAAGATAAAAGCTCCATTAAGTTTCTATTGAATTAGTTCGATATGTTATTGTATGTACATTCGTTATTAAAAGAATTTACTTGATAATTTTATATACTACTAGGTTAGGTCCTCTCTCTAAAAGTGGCTGTAAAACTTGTCCTGTAAAACAATTCTTTAGATAATTTTTATTTTAAAAGAATAATACTGAACACTTCTGATCAAATAAAACTACATGGGTTTGCTCATGAAACAAAATAGTTTAATAAGTTTGGTCAAAAAGTATTTTCGTAAATCGATCACCTAATTTCACAGCAGACCACTTATCTTAGTCGGGTGTCATTATTTTTGTGAGAACCATCAAAAAATAAATAATTCTAATAGCATAGATCCGGTCAAGAAATACATAAGGGACAGAGCTCTGAAGATATATGCAAAAACCAACAGGCTGCCCTACTAAGCACTATCTAATCTCAGAGTAATCACTAACCGCACGAGGCGATACGCAGATCTTAGACCAATCATTGAATAATAACGAAGATTTTGTGGAATACTCAATTTAGTCACTGAGATGGGTGGGACTCTGCAGAAACCCCCCAGCCATCATAGAGTAAAAGTGCCCAGATGCACTAACTCGGAAAAGGCTCAACATAAGATAAGATAAGATAATAGCATGAAGAAGTATTGATAAAAATAAAGGGTTTCCTTTAAATATTTCTATCAATAAATTAAAAGAAAAGTCATTAAGTAAACAATTAAACTTACTAATGTGTTTAAGCGACTTTTTAATGTGTCCACTACATTATACGTTGCTTGCAGTGACTTCTGTAGTTCATGCGTTTGTACACGTTCATTAGCTAAGGAACGTTCAATTTTATGTAGGCGAGCTACTACATTCTCGCCGCCTTCTATTTCATTTTCCAAATCCCGTGCTTCAAATGCATCATCTTCACGTAAGTCTAAGAAGAAAAACATATATCATATTAGACAAGTAGAAATTTGATTTTAAAATATAGCAATATACTTACCTATTTTTTTACAGCTTTGTTGATCTGATTGCAATGCAAAACCTTCACGGCACTTACAATAGTATGCACCAATCGTATTGACACAGGTCTGATCACATGGTTTCTCTTCTTTACATTCATTTATATCGTGTTCACAGTAGCGTCCGGTGTAACCCTTTGGACATGAACAAGTATCGGGTGTACTACAAGTGCCACCATTTTGACACCGTGTAGAACAGACAGCTGGAACAAAAATTAAAGGTTTAATTTAAAATTTATATAAAATTTATATTTAAATTAAAGTTTATTCAAATGTCTTATATTGGACACTGTATGTGGAGAGCATTTGTTTGCATAAAAAGCATTTAATAATTTTTAGAGAAGTCTTTGAAGATTGAATCCAATCTGTAGATTTTAATTTCTTAAGAAATTAAGAAATTAAAAATTAAGAAATTGTCGGTACTTTAAAGGCGAGTCCACCTCAAAGAAAGAGGGAGAGAGAGATTAATGGAGATATAGAGATTAATAGAGAGAGATTGAGCGAGCGAGAGAGAGAGAGATGTATTATGAATTTTTGAATATATATCACTATATATATCACCATGATAAATAGATCGTGGAAAAAACATATTTCATTTTGTAAAATATATTTTGAAGACCTCTCTTAATGACATACGTATAATGTTGATTAATGCACCGGGAGAAGTAAAGCTGTCTCCATCTGGTTTACATCCTCTATGTGAGCTTGTTTAATTATTCATATAATAGTGTTTGAGCATTACTTAGTTTTTATCGAATGGATAAAGAAAACTTTTCGCTTAGATCATTTGAGAACATACTTTGAGTATTTGACAGAATGATATACATCAGCTGAATATTTCATATAATTCTCAAATATATATTTATTTTTGTTTTATTAATGTAATAACATTGCCATCATATTATAATAAATTATCTAGATCTGTTAATATTTTAATATATCTAATATATAATGTATATTGTTGTAATATGAGTACAAAATATTACCTTATTTTTATAAGTCTATTATATAAAGTATAAGGTTATGATATGAGAACACTTTCTTTCTAAGTCTTCTTTATATCTGTGTGGTTTAAATATATTTCGGTAAAATTTTACCTTTTTTTTTAATAAATTTTTCCTTTTATAATATATAGAATTTTTAAATGATTTGTGAAAAACTAGTCACTTAATCCTTCGTTTATCAAGCAAGTTTATGTTTTCTAAATAAATAATACAAATTTTTCAAATTGAGAATTAATCTAATTATACCTCACTAAATTACTTCGAAAGCTTAAACAATGTAACTTTTACACTCAAATAGATGTCCAAATCAGTACAAAGGTTTAGGGCAAGAAATATGCCCGATAAGATTGGAAATACTGTCCAATCTTTAAAAAGATTTTAGAGGGAATGTGTTAATATAAGTTTTATATTATCTGCTTCTTTTATTTTAATTGTCTATATAAAAAAAAAATTCAAATTCTTATTTACGCTCCCGGTTGACTTATATGAGAGAAAGTTTTTTTTTTTAATAATTAACAAATTTTATTTGTTTCTCTTCTATTTTTTAATTATAAAGTAATTCTTACAGCAATGTAATTTAGCAATGTAACTTCAACACCCACAAACTCAAATAGACGTCTAAATCAGTACAAAAGTTTTGGGCAAGAAATGTGCCCGAACCTGTCCAATCTTTAAAGCGCTTTCAGAGAGAATTTGTTTATATAAATCTTATAAAAGAATATTCTCTGCTTCTCTTCTGTTATTTAAATTGTCAAAATTAAAAAAAAAATTTGACATTCACATTCTTACTTACGCTCCCGTTTGACATATATGAGAGAAAGCTTTTTTTCCAAAACAGAGCTTTTTAAAAATTAATAAATTTTATCTCTTTCTCTTCTATTTTTTAATTATAAAGTAATTCCCTCACACTTACAGTTCCATTACTTTCACCTCATTAAAAAATATCGAACACAAGATTTCACCATTAAAACTTACGTTTCATGCAGGAATCTGTGTGCGGCGTCTCACGTGTCCAGCCGTTGCAGCAGTCATAAGTGACCTGTTGTGCTGATTTGTGACGTATGACATCTCTGAATGCCTGTTCGTGCACCAATTGAACGCGTGTGCACATCTGATTTGCATGCATCTGTGGTTGACAAGGCGTGCTGATATGTTTCCAGATTGGACGAGTATATACCTCTGTGGTCTTCACAGGCATCGTTATTGTGCGTTGTTGCACGCAAATATGGCGTCTGCAACATTAAGAAAATTACAATAAAAATGAGAAATAATTTAAATGAGATTTCATTTGAAGAAGTGAAATTTTTATTATATGGAAAAGTTTCGCTTAATTGGTTTTGGCGTTACACAAACTATTTAAGAGCCACTATAAACTTTGCGATATAAAAAATACATTTAATTTGCACTTTATGTATAAAAATGAGTAAAGTTATTATTGCATCGATCTTTAATATTAATTGAATGCAATATTAAATGATTCTGTTGCTTGTGTTTTAATTTTTTTTATGAGTTTCTAATAAATTCCATATTTATTACTTGAAGTCTGCAGAGTCGTTTCGATTGCATTTAATTTATTCAAAATTTTATTGCAACGTGATCGTACTCATAGCATGCACAACTCTGCTCTTAAGACTATAAGTCTGTACAGCACTGCTAAAGAAGTACTTTAGTCTTAAATTCATATAATACCAATAGAAATAAACTTAAATATTTTAAATTATAATTTAGAAAAGAATTTTCGTTCAGGGAAAATAACTTACGCTACTCTAAAACTAAAAAAAATTAAAGTTTTATGTTTCTTCTTCTTGCTTGACTAATATTTAGTTCTTTCTGTACTGAGTCATAGCCAATTAGATCGTTGTCATTATAAGAGAAGAGCTGCCAACATTTTGCACTGGTAATTCTGCTTCAACTTCAATATAATCGATCTAATGCTTTTCAAATTTTTACACCTTTTTTGGTATAGTACGTCAACACCTTCGAAAAATGCACTTTCCCATATGATAATCAGACGGTCAATAAATTTTAATTATTATCTTATAAAGATCTGTACTTTGTAGCGGGGATTTTATTTTCTTCTACAGATTTCAACTATATATGTTATTAAACTATATGTTCAACTATATGTTAAGATCGCTACATAATAATGAGGTCACAGGAAGGAAGCACTATCGAAAGACGAATCCTTTCGTCATCCACTCCTGGATGCGTTTTTTAATTTCCACTCTTTACTGCTGATTGTATTGATATTAATATTATATTACTGTATTAAATATCTTATTCAAATATTACTTACTATAACAGCAGTTCGAGTAATTCATGTTATTATTTTTTTACTCTTTGTGGACCATAAATGTTTTCAAATTGAAAATAGAGATCAAATGTTCATTATTCCAGTACTAGGTTAGATGTTATGAAAATACTACCTTACTATATATTAACTAAACAAACATCTCATTAAAAGATGTATATTATATACAAGCTCCAATCTTGTGATGCGATGAATTTTGCAATGAATATAAAACTTGCTTAGCTGTTACTATACTATCTAATAGTTCTTTATGGCACGATGTATAACAATCACTTTTAATTTTAAAAAAAATTATATAAAATTATCTGTAAGTTGTTAAACCAGTACTAGGTGGAGGTCTTTGAAAAATGCACCTTGAACAGACAACCTTTAAATAAAGTATAAAATTATCTGTGGACATTTCGAGGTAATTATTTGGTTCTATTCCAAATAACCGTAGTTATTAGAGTGAGCCTAAGTCAGTCTTCTGCCGTAAGGATGTGAGTGGGGCAATTACTATAACCTACATCAGGCATAACACCTAGTTTTTCAACTTTTGGTATAGATTTATATAATTTTTAAATATTTAAAAATATAAAAACAGACAATATAACAGACAATTTGAAGGTATTTTTTCCATTTTGGCAATCATTTTCAAAGAGTCTGAAATGACTCTTTGACGTCCACCCAATTTATTTAAAAAACAATTGAATTTTTAAAAGAACATTAAAGCTGTTTGAAATCATTTGATAAATTTTTGACTTAATACTGATTCGAACACCTTCCTGCAATTAAAATACTTGCAACAGAGTTTGTGTAATTACTTAGAAATTCCTTAAGTAAGCAGTTCAAGTAAATAAATCAGCACTCACATTTACGAAATATAGTATATGTGCAGCAAATTCTTTAAAGAAATTCTGTTTCTGTGTAAAATAGACATAAATTCTGGAACCTATCACTTGCTGACAGCAGGCATAGTCCAGAAATGAGAAAAATTTATGCATGACACCAAATTAGCATTTGCTGCTTTTGTTTTTAATGCGTTTAAGCCAAAAGCGAAAGATACTTCCGCGTTGCAGCAAAGCAATTGAAAAAAAAAATACAGAAAAAAAAAATTCAAAATAATACTAAAAAAAAAACAAAATTACTGAAAAAAAATCTAAAAAAAAGTGCATTTGAATTGCACAGACACCAGACTACAATGTGAGAATTTTAATAAAATGCTTTGGAGATGCAGTAACACGGCAGGCAACCTGTTTACTTTACATACAATTCCTTAGCCTTTTTATTGCTGTAGACGCCAACCAAATTATGGGGCACTACGAAGCGGTACTGCCAAATGCCACGCAACATAAACTATAACAAGGGGAGGAAAATGTAAAACAACATTCAATCACGACACACCAAACTGTCTGCTGTCATTTCTTACGAAATACGCGCCAATGATTATAGGTCGTCGTTGGAAGTACGGTTATATGGACCCAAAACTGAACGCAGAAAATAATGAATTACGTTCGGGCAATGACAGATAATTTGCACCTTCGTTCGCAAAAAGGAGAGCAACTTATTATCACCAATGCATCTTTTGACAGGCAAGTGCCCATATATTGTGTAATGCAACGCCCGATTTTAAATGCTTTCTGAAAATTATGAGTTATGAGAAAAAAATTTTTTTATTCATGGTTTTTAATAATCATATTTGATTTAATAAATCCTTTTAATTAGAAATTCAAACTTAGTTCTTCTACTTTTTTAAAAGAGTATACCTGAAAACAGAAATAGAGGACATAGAAATAGAGTATACCTGAATACAGAAATAGAGGACTTAAATGATTTATTTTTACCCACGACCCATACTTAAACCGCATTGTCATTATATGATACTGATGAATTCTACAGTCATTGTGAAGCTAGTCGGAGTTTGAACAATTTTCATTTCTCCTAGATTTATTCTTATTAGAAGTCTTCATATGTCACTTGACAAGTATGACACTGACTCAATGATTTTACACCTATGTCTATGTTTCAAATTTTTGGGACTTGGATATTTGGCATTTAATAGTCTAAATTTTGTAATTATAAAATATATGGCCTGTAAGTTTATTTTGATTGATTGATGAATAATTGAACAGCTATGAACAGCTATGTTTCAAATTTTTGGATTATGTTTCTAAATTTTGTAATTATAAAATATACTGCCTATAAGTTTATTTTGATTAATTCTTTTTCTTCTTTGTTTGATCAAAAGCAAGTTAATGCACATTCAATAGTGTCTGTGACCATTTAGATGATCCAAGGCCAGCATATCTTCCTAATGGAATATATATTGCATTTGATTTGAGAGAGTGCAATTATAGATTAGTGTTATATTATAGTGTGAACATCCACAGAATCAAGCAATTTCAGCACTCTGTCTTTGATATATTTTTCGGTACTCTTGACTCTCAACCCGTTGTGTAGCTTTTAGCATACGTCTTTAGACAATATTCTGATAAATTATTTTGAATGATTGAACAAATCATGTCTATCAAAAGACTTTAAAAAGTTGGAGAAGTATTCTAAGGAAAAAATAATTCAAACGAAAGTTATTGAAAAATATATAAAATTGTTTTTCTAGTAGTTGACTCAGATACAAATTTTTTTTCTTTAAAAAAGTAATATATATATTTATATATATACTTGTACATGACTGTATTAATATAAATATATGTATCAAAAAATGTATATATAAATAAACAAATATTTGTATGTATTATAAATACAATTCTGTGACAACCTATAGGTGTTATATGGTAAGATTTTTGTCTGATAAATAACTAATAAACTAAAGTTGATTGAAAAGAATATTATATCCGTATTTTTGATAAATGATTTTTAAAAGTCATTTGTTTTATTAAATTTAAATTTGTTTATATTAAAAATTGTATATACTTCAATTTAAATAATAATAACATTCAAATAATGCACATTTGTATTTCCTGAAGATTTCTAGATCAGTCGATCGATCATATTTGACAATGTACAGCAAGTTCATATCTTGCGTTCATCATGGCAGTTCGATGCCCATTAATATTATGCATGAATTTACGGATTTAAGCCAAATTATGTTAACCCAAAATATCAAAAATGTCAAAAATATTTTTTTTTTGGACTAATTTCAGACTAAAAAATGCAAACCATGCAGGCATAATTACAAGCAAAAACATGGATGCATGGTTATCTTCAACTTACGACCGAAGTTGTCCAAAAAAAGAAGTAAGCTACAAATTTTGGTACTTTTATGCAGTTATGTGGATTGTTGTTGACTAGGTTGTTTTGTTACAAAAATTATTGTTTTTTTGAAATAATGTTTTTTTGTTTGTTTATGATGTGCATTCGAAACTGATTAATTGGATGGTTGTCTTGTCTTGAAGTTGAACAAATTCGTTGATTGATGCTTTTGTAATTAACTTCATTTCATTTTTCATTTTTTGCCCTCTGTTTGATGTTCAAGTTGTAAAGTTTGTAATTATTCGAGTGCATTGCCTTAGTTACATTTCGTTTGTAATAGTTTTCTTTTTCCAAAATATTTAATCATTTTAAAATACAATTTTAATTAATTTTATTTATCCTTTCCATAGTTGAAGTTCACTTGTCATGTCTTTCTTTCGCTCTTTTGGTGTCTACTATAACAAACCTATTTTCACATTTAAAAAAATTAATTTTAATTCAAAAAGAGACATCATAGCTTAGCCTCAGGTGGTCTTTATATGAATCCACCGTCTATCTTTTACTGCAGTCAAATTGCCGTACTCATTGATTAAATTGTTTGTTAAAGAATTATAATTTCAAACAGCTTAAATTGATAGACAAGTTAAGTAGCCGGGGATTAGGTAAACAAATCCGTTTAATATAAACATTTTTGAGTTATAAATAAATTCAATTTCATTTTTAGCAAATAAT